TGGTAGTCCTGAAGGACCTCCAACCATCGGGACAATTGGCCGGATGGCTGCGCCACCCGCATAGCGTATTGGAGAGCCGCATGGTCCGTGCGAACCGTAAAGTGACAGCCATACAGATACGGCCTGAATTGCTGTATAAAAAACACAATCGCCAGCAATTCACGCCGTGTCACGCAGTAGCGTTGTTCCGCGGGGGACAGAACCCTGCTACCGTAGGCGACCACCCGTTCGACCCCCCCGACCACCTGTGAGAGCACTCCCCCGATACCCGTGTTACTGGCATCCGTGTCGAGCACAAACGGTTGCGTGAAATCGGGGTAACACAAGGGGGGAGCCTGCACCAAGGCGTCACGAAGGGAGCAGAACGCGGCCTCCTCCTCCGGCCCCCAGTGAAACCGCACCCCTTTAGCCGTCAAGGCGTGCAGGGGCCTGGCTATGGTGGCAAACTGTTTGACAAAACGACGGTAATAGGAGGCAAATCCTATGAAGCTGCGGACTTCAGTAACAGAGGTCGGTGTTGGCCATGAGCCGACGCATTGCGTCTTAGCTGGGTCCGTCGAGATCCCCGAACGGCTAACGATATGGCCCAAATACCTGACCGATTCCCGAAGCAGAAAACATTTAGCCGGTTTAAATTTAAGCTTCGCGGAACGCATCCTGAGAAACACTGCCCTCAGTCGCTGGAGGTGCTCCTCAAAGCTTCGGCTGAAAACGATGATATCATCGAGGTAAATCAAACAGGTGTCCCATTGAAGGCCTGACAAAACCAATTCCATGAGCCTCTGGAACGTGGCAGGAGCGGAATGTAAACCCATGGGCAATCGGTTGAACTCAAATAGGCCTCCCGGTGTCCGGAAAGCGGTTTTAGGTTTTGATTCGTCATCGAGGGGCAATTGCCAAAATCCCGAAAGCAAATCGAGCGTCGAAAAAAACTGTGCTCCTGCCAAGGCATCCAGCGACTCATCCATCCTGGGGAGCGGATACGCATCGGCCATTGATATTTTGTTTAGGCGGCGGAAATCGACACAGAACCGCAGGGATCCATCCTGTTTTTTAACCAAGACGATAGGAGCACCCCACGGACTGGAAGAGGGCGCAATGATGTCGGCCGCCAACATGTCATTTACTGCCGACTGCACATGCTCCTTCTCGGCTGGACTGAGCCGGAAGGGATTCTGTCGAATAGGGGCCGCGTCCCCAGTCTCTATGTGGTGGCGCAACAGGTCTGTGCAGCCAATGTCGTACTTGTGCCTGCTAAACACGTCAGCGAACTCGAGCAGCAAGCCCCTCAATGCACCCAACTGCACACTGGACAAGGTACTGGACCCGGCACACAACGAGTCCAACCACTCCGTCCCTTCCTCACCTTGGGGATGCGTATCGACATTTGAATCGGCGTGAGCAACGAGCTGTTCCTCGACGGGTAGCGGCGCGGCGTGAGCCAGCACCGTTCCCTGCGTAATCACGGCCGGCCGCGACCCCGTATTCAGGACCACAACGAACGGCTCACTGTCCCCCCTCACCATGGTCTGGGCCACCGCTAAGTCGAGGTCCCCTTTAGCCCTGTTAGACGGCCCCAAAAGAACTCCCTGTGCCCCCACATCCGCCCCAAGGGGTTTTCTCAACCGAAGGGGTACCAACATTTGCGATCCCGGGGGCACCTTTACAGTCCGGGTTGCCAGCGCCTGCACCGTCGCACAAGCCGTGCGTATCTTATTTGGACTCTTCAAAAACTCAACCCGCCGACCCGACGGAAGCTCAATGCAGGCCTGGTCTATAAGAATTTTGATGGGCATTTTAGACAGAAAGTCCGTGCCTAGTAAACAAGGAACGGCCAACGATGATGATACAAAAATAGGACCCGCCAATTTAATGTCGCCAATACAAATATTCGCCCGAATCTGGCCGATGATTCCCAAAGATCCCCCGTTTGCCGCGTAAAATGGTACGTCCACCGGCAGAAGTGGTCGACATTGTACGAGAAGAATATTATAAATAAGGTCCGAAATAATAGTGGCCGACGCACCCGTGTCCACGAGCACCCGGACCTCAACCCCGTCAATGTACCCCGTTACCACGGACGACCCGGCCGACGCAGCCACAATCCTGTGGGCCAATTCGGACCATTCGACTGCCTTTGGGCCGTACGCGGACCCCTCTCGCCGAACCGAACCCCCGGCGCCCATACACGGTCCCCCCACCGCTAAGCAGCGACCCGAACGTGCCGTGCGTGTGGACCGAGCGTGTGAGGTGCCGCGACTTGCCGGGTTCAGTTTGGATGTCTTGAGTCCCTGGTCGTCGTCCGGACGTGGTCCCGCGGTGCGTTGACGCGGGGCCCGGCACCCGGACGCGACGTGGCCCCGAAGGCCGCAGTTGTAGCAGACGACGAGGGACGTCGTAGGTTTCGGTTGCTCCAGCTTGCGGGAGGAGCGTGTGGGCGAACGACCTCCCGTTCTCCACTCCCCCGGTCTCGAACCAGCGAAGGCCTCCTCCCGAGGCACAGCAGGCTGAGGTCCGATGATCGTGGCGGCCGGTGCCCCGTTCTCCACCGATGCGCAGACGACCGTCGGCTTCCGCTGTAGGACCTCGTAAGCGTGGATACTCGTGGCAATCCCCAGGGAGCAGATGTCCATCTCGTCCGCCGTATTAATGGGAACTCCCAATCCGTGAGCCAGCGCCAGCAGCTGCTCCGTCACCATGGCGTCCTTCCCCTCCTTGTCCATGCGGGGAAAAGCTGAATCCGCCAGGGCGAGCAGCGCCGTGCGATAGGCGAGCGTTGTTTCTCCAACCACCTTCCGCCGATCGTAGAACTGGTGGCGACAGGTCGAGGGCGGCCCGAACACCTTGGCCAACAGGTGCAGCGCGGCCTGGAGCGTTGAGCGGGACGACCTCGGGGCAGACGTGAAGGCCGCAAGCGCGTCGTCGTCGAGCATCGCTGGCAGCGCGCGCAGGGCAGTGGTGTCGGACCACCCCGACATTTCTTGATGCGCGATGAACCGTCGCTGGAAGGCTCCCCAGTCGCCCCCGTCCGCCTTGAACACCGACAGCGCGGGCAATCGTTGCTGGAGAACTCGATCGTCGTCGTCGTCGTTGGAACGATTTTCCCGCGCGCCGCTGTGGTTGTAGAAAATGTCGGCTCCCTCTGCAGGCGCAAAATGGAGAGCTCCGGCGCTCGCCGATGACGCGGGCTGCGCTGTGTGGAGACCTCTGGCCACGTGGTGTCCGCGTTTCCCGCCAACCGGAGGCGGACCCTCAAAAATGGCGCCAACTCCCAAACTTTTGGCGCGAAACGCCTTATGGCGGGAATCCTCCAGCCGCGCCGCCTCTTCCAACCCCGCAGGCGTTCCACCGGCCGCTGGAACGGAGATCTCCGCCAAGATCGCAGCGGCGGCGAGCAGCAACTCCGCCAGGCGGGAGTGTGCGTCCTGCAGGCTGGTGTCGGAGGCGGGCGGAGCATCGGCCATTTCCGCGAAGTGCTGCATCGGCGGCAACTCCTCGTCCTCTCCTCCCGAGGGTGGTGTCACCGGTACGTCGTCGTCTCCCCGGTCTTGCACGTGGGAACGAGAAGTCTTCCTTGTGTCCATTCTCCTTGAAGACAGGTTTACTTCTGACGCCAGTTGTAAAGTAGTAACTCGGCAGGAGACGACTTCACGGGTAGCACACTCTTTATTTTCACCAACTTGTAGTTACACGGATGACTAACACCCTACTTCGTTACACGGGTGACCAACACCCACTTAGCTAGACGGGTGACGGACACCCACTCAGCTACAACTTCGTTACACGGGTGACCAACACCCACTTAGCTACACGGGTGACGGACACCCACTCAGCTACAACTTCGTTACACGGGTGACCAACACCCACTTAGCTACACGGGTGACTAACACCCACTCAGCTACACGGGTGACCAACACCCACTCAGCTACACGGGTGACTAACACCCACTCAGCTACACGGGTGACCAACACCCACTCAGCTGTACTGACACGGGCTCTTACGCCCCGTAGCCTTCCGGGACACACCCAGCCGGGGTGCCCGTCTCGGCTCTGGGTACCACCGTTCCGACCCACACGGGCGTCGGACTACGGTCCCCCCAGTCTCGGCTCCGAGCCACACAGGGCCCCGGTCCCCACAAGGACGGCGGGACTAGGGGTCTCGGGCCCCTACCTCCTCCACCCCGTCTTCGGTCTTCAACTGGTTAACACTGACCCCGAGTGCTCTCGCGCGTCCCCCTTTATACCCCTCCTGCGGACGTCGCTGAGAGTACCCACTTATCTGACCAATCACTGCGCACTCGCTACGATCCTCTTTTCCCAGCTTGTGTGAGCGCGCCTCACCACCGGCGCGCGCGTCCATGCCACGCCCACATCGCGTGCCCAACCCCGCGCCCCGTGATCCATCACTGCCGGCGCACGTCAATACCACCACTACAGAGAAATTGGTCTAGAACAGGCAGGCCATGTGGCCAGATGACAAAAGTGTCATCTACGTACCTCCTGCATTTCCCATAAATATGCTAAATTCCTCTTGATATGCAGATTATTTTGTCAATGCGCATTCCCCCCCCCCTCCGCCCTTCCAAACCAGCTTAAATAGACGCTCCAAGCGTGGTGGTGTTTTCTTTTAGACGACGTCGCCTCGACAGACCTGGTCTTCACCTGAGGACGGCTGCTTGTGTTGTGGCCGAAACGTCGTGAGAATTTTTTTATTATGTTTTATTTTTATTATTTTATTACTTCCCTTCTACTTGACTTTACCGAAAGAACCAAGAATATGCGGTATATAGTTTGGATTCCATAGTAACAATCGTACTACTGTGGCTTGTCTTGAATGTGTCTATGGATCTTTGTTTTATTTTCGTGGGTGTCTATGTCCCCGTGTGTCTCTGGGTTTACGATTAGGTCCAGAGTCTGGGTTGCATGGCGACAGTCCATAGGCCCATTCATTGATCTGTCGGTTCATGGGTTGCCAGGATGCACTGCAAGCCACGCACTTACCGGTCGGTGACGGTTACTGCCGAGTAGGGGATCTCGTTCGCCACTTACATCATGGTACGGAGTGGCAGCTGGCTTCCGTTGTTTCTGTTGGGGCATTGACTCGCGTTACAGAGAGAACCTCAGCACACCGGCAATAACACCCCTGCGTGTGGCCTTAAAAAAAGCCACCACCGTCCACGTAGCAGGGTGGGGGGGGGGGGGGCTATACAGCAGGAGTCCTGCTGTATTGCACGAATGCATTAGTCAGAAGGGAAATAGCAGATGTCGATACATGTTGGAGAGAAATGTTGCTATTCCTTCTCCGGTGAAGGAGCATGGACTAAAATGATATACGAATTTGGTCCACAGTCCATAGTCATTTATTCTTATCTTGGAAACGGTAATAATTACAGGCGCTAAATTCCAATGTCGAGGTCTCGCCAATGAGCTGATGGAAGGGACAGTTAACACCTGCTGACGTTTGCTTGTGATATGTATATTGGCCGCGACATCATACCCGTGTCATTGCTACTACACATGTTGATCCTTACATTTTGTGTCTCTGGTGGCTGCAGTGCAGTAGCTTTATTTTGTGCCGAGTTGTCCTTAGAGTAATAGCAAATCTGCAGAATGCTTATGATAAAGATGGAAATGATGAACAGGAGGCACTTGACCATCCAATTATCTATGGATGTCATGTACGGAACCTGCACGTGCACACACACACACATGGTGACATTAAAGAATGATTTGTTATACATTTCAATCATTGCCAGTGTAGATGGTGTAGGATAACATTTGAGGAATCTCACGTGTGAATGTGCACTAAAGCCAGTGTGTTGCAGTCCAGAGGTGCCGAATCTTACTGCTCAATACCACGTTAGGTGGGACATTGCCACATGGAGTGAGGTGTCTTGTGCGTCCCTTAGACGAGGATGCTTCGTGATTGGATTCCTAACCACATGTTTATACTAGGCCACGCCCAGACAGCAGCTGTAAGATTCATGGTCAGGGCACTATTCAGAACTGGTTCTGCCACGTGTGGTTAAAGCCTCGCTGTTTAACGTTAAATTCATACATGTTAGCAGAGGTAAATATTAGCTTATAATACATGTGCATTTGTTGTTGATTCATATGATTGTGCGAGTAAATATAGAGTGGCATTTGATGTTAATTTTGATAATGTAATGTTTAAATACCCGCGGTAATTGGGCGAGGGCTTAGAATCATGGGTGGGGAACCTTTTTTCTGCCAAGGGCCATTTGGATATTTATAACATCATTCGCGGGCCATACAAAATCATCAACTTAAAAATTAGCCTGTTATATTTGGTCAAACATTGAATTAACTCACCCCTAATGTGATGGCTGGAACAGACCAAATGATTTCGCAAGCCTTATACGGCCCGCGGGCCGGACATTCCCCCAAAAATATGCTTCTCAGTTCCATCTACACGGGGATTTATTAGGGTTAGTGTTTTGTGTGGGCTAATGTGGTGTCTCCTGGTCACTGTTGTGGGAACGAGATGTTTATTTTAAGTGTTGAATGTTGCGCAATTTGCCTTTTTTGGCTGATAAATGTCAACAAAAACAAGCGTCAGAAACGTGGTTTGTTGACAACTTTGTTGTTTTTGATCAACTGGAGGTGAATTAACGCACCTATAGATATTGGAAGGTGATTAAATTGTCATAAATTTTGAGGATAAATTATTGAGTTAACAGTCATACCTCTATATGCGAATATTCGATTTACAGTTTTATTTTAACGAATGCTGGATTCATTATCATATTAACTGTAAAAAATGTGGTAATAAGTGCACTGAAATTAATTCGTAATAAAAGTATCTGCAGTACTATATAAATAGACGGTTTCTTGAGCGTTGTGCATCGCAATGAGTCTTAGAATGTGTTTACATTCGACTCGACCAATCAGTGCGCAACAACGTGCTACGTTATGGAGCTATGGTGTTTGTTTGGTGGGCAGTGCAACCTCTTGACTGCACCGAAGAGTACACCGGTGAGTGAATATATTTTACAGTACAGTACACTTTTATTTTACGTCAGTTACAAATTTTTATACGTAACAGTATATATAATATTTTCAATATAAATAGTATTTGTTTACAATATGAATGGTAAATAATGATGTGTTTATCAATTATAAAGTCCGGCGTTCCATGTGTCCATTTGTCTGTCCGTCAACTAAATTATAAGAGCCTTTCAAAAGGCCTGAATCAAAAAGTTAAAGAAAGTGCCCCCCCCAGATGTCGGGGTAAAATTTTGGTCCAAAAGGTTTCAAAAGATTGTGGACCCCTCCCCCAAAAACAATTCCAACCCTATATACAATGGAGTCGGTAGTATCTGCACACATTGGGGGGGATAAAAGGACATCAGTGAGGATGATGGGCGAGGCGCCGAGAAGCCCTCTGCAGGAGCTAGAATCAGGCGGCCGACATTCTAGTAGTATAACATGGGTAGGTTACACAGCCTGGGAACACATCCTGAGAGTACTGATGTTTTAAGTTATTCAATAAACAATTTCGGTATACGAACAAACTATTAACTTAATAATAGGGGTTTTCTCCTTTTTCAGGCGACAAAACTGAAACCTTTTGCAAGGAATCATGTTTACATTAACCACAATACTTGCAGTCAGAATGCAAACAAAAAAAACAACACTGATACTCTCTGATAATTTATGCATTGTCCTTGAAACTGATTGGTCCACGCCTTTTCGGCGTCATCTGGTCGAACACCGTATGAGACTAGGCTCTAAGGAAAGCTGTCTCTGGTGTGGACATATCAGTTTCAAGGACAATGCATAAATTATCAGAGAGTATCGGAGTGTTGTTTTTTTGGTTTGCATTCTGACTGCAAGTATTGTGGTTAATGTAAATATGATTCCTTGCAAAAGGTTTCAGTTTTGTCGCCAGAAAAAGGGGAAACAAACTCTATTATTATATTTTAGTACTGGCAAAGGAGGCCTCATGATGTAGAAACTATTAACTTTTTTTATTTTGCCAGGTAAGGCCTACTGAGCTACAAAGCTCTTTTTTTGCATGTGACCTGAACGCAAATAATAGCTCAACGAAGTGGCTTATCACGTTAAAATGTATAGCAGCCAAATATTCTAAACATGTGATGTTGATTCTAAATGTGGAGGGAATAACCGTAAGACCCAGAAAAAAATCCATGCGTCCACGGGGAGAAAATGCCAACTCCAACCACACAACAGGCAGCAGGGTCGGGATCGAACCCACGACCTCCTGTATACAGAGCAAGGTAGTTGACATTTCGCCACCGTGGCGTCCAGGAGCACTTTTATCTGTGGCGTTTCAGTGCCCTCGGTCCCATTGTTACGCTTTTATGCTCCGTACTGGGCTCATGTTGAATAAATAAAACAAATTCACTCTGGAGGCTGACGAGCACCTTGGGCATGTTGGCGTGAGTGCTGGCGCACTGCATGGTCATCGAGATGGTGGTGGCGACGCTGATGGCAACACGTGCCGGCGCCTTCTCGGTGGGGATCAGGAACGAAAAGCAGGACAGGATGGAGATGAGGCCGCTTGAAATGAAGATATGTTTTTCGGAGGAACATATTGACCGACACAGCTTGAACTCGGCATGCAGGCGCGATATGTTTCCTAGGGAGAAGGTGGGTAAGAGAGTTATAGGTAGATCCAACGATGATGTGGTCAATTCTAATTTGCCAAATATAGGCATAGGGGGTTAAAAATGGTAGGTTAAAGTTTAAACAATCTACTAATCTTCGCATTGGATTAGTGTTAGACAGCGGGGTTAGGGTTATATAGAAGCTGGTTTAACAGCTTAACTTTGAATTTCAGGGCTAGAACTGCACCCAAATCACCCCTCTGTGTATACATGTATGTATGTCGAACTTCTTTCGCACCATACGTAGCCAACCGCGCTAATAAGAGGTGTGGGGGAATGACAACAAACTAAACACAAAAGCAGTTCTAAAGAAATACTTTTTCAATTTAGATGATTTAAAAGTGCAGAGCTGTAATTGATTCCTAATATCGGGGAAAGCTTTATGGACGGCCACAGAAGCATCTGAAAGTGCCCGATGCTGTGACCATCTCTGCCCCACCCCTGCCTACTGGGCCTGCCCACCACAACCTCTTGCTGCATGTGCACACCGTCCCACTCCTTGCACTCCCACTTCCGAAGGGGCAGAGCCTAAATAGTAAGGGGCAGGGCCTAAAGAGGAAAGGATAGGGCCAAAAGAGCAAGGGGGCGGGGACGAAATAGGAAGGGACAGGGTCTAAAGTGGAAGGATCTTGGGTGAAAGGAAGGGGTGGGGCCTAAATAGGAAGGGTCTGGGCCTATAGAGGAAAGGTGGGTGCAACAGGCAGTAGCATAGCTTTAGTGCTTCAGATGAGCCCACGGGCCATATTGTTGACAATTTATCCTCCACTCAGCCATAACACTTATAAAGAAAATGTGATTTACTTTATTTTTATTTTTTTATTTTTACATATTAGATGCTGAATAAAAACTAAAAAATGTGATGGCCAACCATGCACGGTGACGGAACTAGTAATGGAGTTCACTAGAACCACCTTGCTGGAGCTGATTATGATGCAAATGCATTGGCCCAATTGGTAAAACCTGAGTGTGTTGTTGAGGGAGAGTCGGGTGGGGATTACATTCAGGCCTGCGGGAAAAAAAAAGATCTACCCATGATTTCATTGCTGGTGTTGTTGCTCAGGGTGACACTGGTATCGACATCAAACTGGGAGACGTTGAGCTCCCCGGGTAGCGTCATGTTTTGCGTCTTGTGCCACTGCAGTAACACATCCTTGTCCGTGTAGCTGGCTGTCTCCCCGGAGGCCCGCCACATGCAACACAATAGATAGAGAAATCACATTTTGAGTCTGAGACCGACCCCAATTCCACTGGCTCCCAGTTTCCTGCGAACACTCTGTCATCAAATATTTTCAAAGAAAGTGCACAAACTCCAAGGGCTTTAACATTTTTTCAGCCAAGAAGACCTCAACAATGTCCCTCACCATCGAGTAAAGTACGGATTCCCCTTCTGGGATCGTTCTGTCACCACCCTAGAATCTCAAGTAGACCCAGAAGAACGTAGGCGAACAGAGTGGAATACTACAAACATCTACTGGACTCCTATCGTGTTTATGTATCGTTAGTTGTCATATTCCGACCTCGTGCCCCTACTGGACGGTTGCGAAAAGGAGCTTTATAGCTCTTGACTTAAAGCTTGCGTGACTGCAGGAATTCATATTCTTTGGGTCTTTCGGTAAAGTCACGTAAGTAGTTTTAAAGAAAATTACAAAAATAAAAAACTACAACGTTTCGATCGCAACTCAAGCAGTCGTCATCGGGCTGCAAAAAGGCTGAAAAAAGCCTGATGACCGCTTGCATTGTGATCAAAACGTCGTAGTTTTTTTGATATTTTCTTTTAACCTATCTACGTGACTTTACTCAAAGACCCAAAGCATAGCTTTATAGCTCATCGGATTTACTCCAGTATAAATATTATGTTTCTGAGATGTCCAAAATGAACACCTTATTCAAGACCAAAACATTGGAGCATCTTCTGGCTTTGTCATTCCTCCTTTAAGACACTGGTGTAACCATCAACCACATCAGAACTTCAACAGGCCAATGCTGCACCACATCACCTTCATAAGTCGGTGATAAAAGATGAGCCACATGAGTGCAATTGTGACCATGCAACGATAACCTATGGATCGTAGAGTAAACCCACTGTAGTCTACACTTCTACATAGGAGGAGGAACAGCAACACGACACAAACTCTCTTGAAGCCCACTTGATATGCAGCAGACCTCGGGCATTGGGGATCGAACTCCTAAACGTATTGGTTCTGCCATCGTCATGCGCTGCAACAGAATATTTGGAGTTGCGTTGTGTTCTTTCTGGACTTGATTTCTGACCGACAAGTCTCTGACAGAGACCCGCTGGGCCATACACCTGGCCTTGACCCCTAGGCTTTCACACTTGTATGGATGTACGTTGAACTTCTTTCACACTGTACAGTAGCCAACCGTGCCTTACCGCTGACAATCGTCATGGGACAGGTCTGTTTAATCCAGGGGTATTTATGGAGATCCATGTGGCAGCTGAGGGTAAGGGTGATTCTGAAAGACAAATGCACATTAGAGGACATGGGGAACATGCAACACGAAGGTCAGCAGAGAGGAAGCAGGTTTACCAGACCTTCACAGTTCAAGACCTGCAAGAGACCTGTATGTACATATATACAAATGCATGTTGAACGTCGTTCGTGCCACTGTACATAGCCACCAAGCGTGTTAATCGGAGGGTGTGCGCGGTGGGGGGGGGGCAACAATTATCCAGTGTGATTATGTTAAGCAGACGATGAGCTGATGGGGGCGTTTTCTCATGAAGGGGGCGAGGATTGAGTACGCCCATTTTGTACTGCCAACCTCAAGGTGTAAAAGACATTCCCGTCGTCGTAAATCCTCAGCATGCTGTTGGGTGCCGTCACGGAGTGCACCACGGAGCTCTTCTCGTTGTCGAAGAAGACGCTGGGCCTCCACAGGCAGCCCAACGTCGCGTCGGACATGTCCATGTAAGTGTCGCCCCCCGTGCTGCAGTTCATACGGAGACGGTGGTCAATCCACCACTGCACAAGGATGACGGTGACTTTGTATTCCTGAGTGGGGCGGGGCAGGGCAGGCGGTAAGGTGGGTGAAGAAGGTGGAAGGTGGAGGATGTGATAGTACAATGGGAAGAGGAAACAATAAGATGGGGGTAATAACGGGATAGGAAGTTGTATCATTCTCGTCATCAACTATTTTCAGATAATACAGTGGGCCACAAGTAACTACCTGATTTAAAATAGCGGTATTTCGTGTCAAAGGATAAACATTTTTTTGAAATAAAGTAGAAGCCTACGAGTTTATGATCAACCGGTATACACCTCAGCAGCGTGCAAAAATTGTTGAAATAAATTTCAGAAACAATTGTTCAATTTAAAATTATGAGACCATCACGGATAGTTTAAGACCCGTACGGCTCCAATTCCGCACTGTATTCGGGCATTGATTTCCCGATTCAGGAAATCAGGACAACGGCGGTTGCAAAACGTGTTGGCAGACCTCGAACCAGTCGATTTCCGACTTCTATTGAGCAAGTAAGGGAATGTGTCGATGAGAACCCCGAAACTTAGACGAGGAGACGCTCCGTCGCTCAATTGGGGATCGCACGACGGTCGCTGCAGCAAATTTTGGTGCAGGACTTGCATATTTTTCTCTATAAGATTCAGCTGGTGGAAGAATTGCAGCCCAGAGACCATCAAAGCCGCCTAGAGTGCCCGTGTGCTTTGATTGAGGAGAGTGATGGGAAATGCCGTTGAAAGAGCACGGATTTGGCAACGCAACACAGGCGGTCATTTATAACATTACTTTTCATACGTAATTATATTGACTATCCATGAATTCAAGAATTTTCTATCATTTAGAGTTTGTGCTTTTATTGTTATTCAAAAGTTAATGAAACAACACCATAAAGAAACGGGATGTTGTGCAAAACGATTGCACGCGTATTAATGCATTATAATGCAACATTAGTAGGCAAAAAAAACTAAAAATAAACATTTAGTGTTAATTTGTTTGTGCGTGCAATGCATATGAGATGGTGGTTGGTCCAACAATGCACAGGGGTGACGGTGACTTTGTACCTCTGATGTGCAGGGTGCAAGGGGAGTGGTGGTGGAAGGGGTGGTGGAGGTTGAGAGTGGAGGAGGTGATAAAACAATGGAAAGAGGGAACAGCATGGGAAGGCAGAAATAGTGAACATCAAGCAAGGAAAGAAGAAGTGAGACAAACGTTTGAAAATAACTAAAACGAGAGAAAGCCATTTTAAACGTACTTTTTAGCTGAAATGTCAAGATTGAAGGGAAGTATGTGTGTGTAGAACCGTCTGCAATGCTCTTCTGATATTGAGCATCTTTCATATGGTGGTGCGAAAGATGTTCAACATATGAATGCACTTAGGGCGAGTGTAGCAGGGTCATTCGGGAACATTTGAATTCACGGTCGTAAACGACACGGACACGAATCAAGTTACAGGCGCAAGTAAGCCCTACATTTGAGTCGAAGTGTCGTTAACGCACCGATTTCCCAAACGAACGCCCCTGTGTGGCCGTGCGATCGGCACTCTATGAAGTAAACTACAGTAGGACTCATGATTCCATATAGAGGTTTGTTTGGTTAGATCGCATAAATATGAATGTGGTGTTAAACCCACCACCACCGGACACAGTAAATTAGTAAGGTTTGTCACGTAAACAAACGTGCCAATTCCTTACTAGTTCAGCACTAACTAGTGTGGTGGAGATTAAACCCACAACATTTACAATTCAAGTACCTGAAATGGTCGCGAAAGCCTGTGTTAAACAGACTCTCGATTATCCGCGCTAATTTTGGGGAGGACGTCCGCAATAATTCAAAATCGCGGATAATCCAAAAATATCCATTTTATACAGGTCTCTATGCCAAAAACCACGTATATAGGTATACATTAAGAACAAATACCAACCATTGATCGATCGATGATGTTCGTGCTCAGTGATAATAACACTTCCCTGCCCCCGCCCAGGAGAAGACTCGGCTCGCGAAGCGGATAGCAGAGTCACGCTAATCAACATCTATCAAACTCCGCCCACTGTTGTAAAGCGAGGCAGCTACTGAACTGTAGAGGTCATCATGTGCATTTTTGAATAATCGGAGTAACATATTTGTTCGGTTTAAGCACGTGACTTGCAATAAACATTTCCAAGAATAACAATGTATCACGGTTTTTGTATTATTAATTTGGGCTTAAGTGAAAATCAATGAGATATTAATTTACGTAAAAACTCTGGTGCGCAGTTAGTCTGCAAATTGGATACACCGCACGCGGATAATGGAGAATAGACCGTTTTATTCTACCTGGTAAGGCCCAATGAGCTACGTAGCTCTTTATCAGACGCGACCGAGCTATCACAAATGATAGCTCAACTAAAACGACTGATATCATCATTACGTGGACATTTAAAGCAGCAGCCAAATACTATAAACGCGTGACGTCGATTCTAAATGTGGAGGACCCGGATAAAAATCCACGCGACGACCGCGGTGGGAGATAGACATGCAAACCCACAACCTCCTGCATACCAGGTGAGGGAGTTAACATCATCTCCAAGCCCACTGTGGGCATACTCACCATGTTTAAGACGTCGATGGATCCAAAATTTTTGACGACGATTGTGATTTTCACGTCGGTCGCATCGCCTGCGAATCGCCAGAACCACGCGCAAAAACAAAAACTTTCATCCAAAAGTGTGGACGTCCACCACACACATGGACGGCTCGGTGGACCTTCGGGGATGATGCGGTGGCTATGAGATGTCAACTACCTCACCTGGTATACAGGAGGTCGTCGGCTTTATCCCGTCACCCTGACAATGGCTGTTATATATTTGGAGTATGCGTGTTCTCTCTCTCTCACCGTAACAGGGTGGTGGCTCGGATAGGTTAACTGCTTTTACTGGTATATAGAAGGTAATGGGCTCAATCCCGTGACCTTGACAATGGCTGTTGTATATTTGGAGTCTGCGTGTTCTCTCTGTCTCTCGCCATGACAGGATGGTGGCGAGATGCTAACTACCTCGCCTGGTATACAGGAGGTCGTGGATGTGATCCCGATCCTGAAGCCTGCTGTATATTTGGAGTTTGCATCTCTCCCCGTGGTCTTGTGGATTTTACTCCAGGCCCTTTCGTTTGTTCCCCTCGACATTTCGAATAAACATGCCTGTTAGAGTATTTGCTACTATAAATGTCCACGTGATAAGCCACTTCATTGGGCTATCATTTGTGGCCAACTCGATTCTGAAAAAAAGCTACATAGCTCAGTGGGCTTTACCTGGTGAAATAAATAAATGTTGAGTTTATAGGGACGAAAGGGATATTTCTTTAATGAAAAAGGTTTTACCATTTCTGGCAATAAATCATCATCATCACGATCCATGCACAGATAGTCCATCGGTGTCCACTGCACATTGCCTGGTTTGTTTCCACTTTCCGCGATATCCAATATGCGATCGAGCAAACGGAACTAAATCGCAGTGCAAGTAGGAATAAGCCATGGTCGAACGGCTGCCTTGGCGTAGTGTCATCATCATACAATCATCATACAAGGAGGCATTGGAATGCACGCCCTCTGGGTGCGAGATGGCATTTTTGGGGGTGTGCAGACATTTTCCATATTTTTTTAGGTAAATCATCGAAACACAAATTGAGCACGGGGCCACGTAAGTACAACTACTTTGTTTAATCGAACCCTCTGTATTGACATGATACATGTGTTAACGATTGAGGACCACAGGGGTGCAAGGCTGCAGTAAAGGTTAAGAACCACTGGTGTAGACGCTACCCAACCACGCACCTCACTCTTTGTTCAGGCCCTGTGTTACGCATCATCTCACGCGTTATCGTGGAACTTTGTGCTGTACACCCCCTACATGTATATAGTCACTTTATTACTATGCGATATTTTTCCCCCATCACGCGGTGTTCTTCAGGAACGAGACTTCCACCACTTCCACGTTATAGGAGAACAGGGCCGGGGAGTGGGGGCTGTATTCTGATCGTGCGACCCCTCCCCCACCATCCCTACCTACCTGTGGGGTTTGGCCGGATCATCTTGTCATAGTCGGGCGAGTTGCAAACGTAGTTGTGCAGTTACTTAGACATGTTGCGCTTCCGTAAGTCGTACTCTTCGTTTCTGAGTTTCACGCTGTAATCGCAGCTGTACCACAGCCCCTGGCTGGCAGATGGAAGGGGAGTGGGGGGAGACAAAGGTGGCCGGGCAGGCGTGCGTGGTACTGGCTACCCACCTCCACTCCACCTCGTGTGCCAGCCACAGTGGCGGCCTTCATAGGCAGCGCTGCTGCTGCTGCTACTCGCTAACAGCACGTGTGTGTATGTATATTGAAACTTCTTTCGCACCGTACATAGCCAACCGTGCTTATCGGAGGTGCGGGGGACGGACAAACTAAACACAAATACGTTCTGAAGAAATTAATTGTCAATCTAGATGATGTAAAAGTGCATAGCTCTCAGTCGCTTCCACGCAGCCAAATAATCGACAATCTCAACAATCCGAACGCGTGATGTTGATTCTAAATGTGGAGGTAAAAACATGTAGGACCCGGAGACAAACTCCACGCAGTGACCATCACAGAGAGAGACAGAGAGAGTCCAAACATACAGCAGCAGCAGCAGCAGGCATAGTCAGGATCCGGGCTCGAACCAGCGGGCTCCGGCATACCAGGAGAGGAAGACAATATCTCCTGGCCACCATGGCGCCCCTTAAGAGAATAATAGGAATATATATTGACTCCGAGGTCAAGACTCGGTTCTTTCCGATATTAGGAAGCAACTGGAGCTATACATGCTGAGTGAGTGGGTGGGTGAGTGGTTTACCCTGGTGCTGAGTGAGTGGGTGGGTGAGTGGTTTACCCTGGTGTTGAGTGAGTGAATGGGTGAGTGGGTGAGTGGTTTACTCTGGTGCCGAGTGAGTGGGTGGGTGAGTAGTTTATCCTGGTGCCGTGTGGGTGAGTAGTTTACCCTGGTGCCGAGTGAGTGGGTGGGTGAGTGGTTTACCTTGGTGCCGAGTGAGTGGGTGGGTGAGTGGTTTACCTTGGTGCCTAGTGAGTGGGTGGGTGAGTGGTTTACGTTGGTGCTGAGTGGGTGGTTGAACGGTTTACCCTAGTGCTGAGTAGTTGAGTGGGTTACGCTGGTGCTGAGTGAATGGGTGAGTGGTTTACCCTAGTGCTGATTGAGTTGGCGAGTGGTTTACCCTTGTGCCGAATGAGTGGGCGAGTGAGTGGGAAAGTGGTTTACCCTGGTGCTGAGTGAGTGGGTGAGTGGTTTACCCTGGTGCTGAGTGAGTGGATGAGTAGTTTACCCTGGTGCTGAGTGAGTGAGTGGGTGATTGTTTTAACTTGGTGCTGAGTGAGTGGGTAGGTAAGTGGTTTACCCTGGTGCTGAGTGAGTGGGTTGGTGAGTGGTTTACCCTGGTGCTGAGTGAGTGAGTGGGTGAGTGGTTTACCCTGGTGCTGAGTGAGTGAGTGGATGAGTGGTTTACCCTGGTGCTGAGTGAGTGGGTGATTGTTTTACCTTGGTGCTGAGTGAGTGGGTAGGTAAGTGGTTTACCCTGGTGCTGAGTGAGTGGGTTGGTGAGTGGTTTACCCTGGTGCTGAGTGAGTGGGTGGATGAGTGGTTTACCCTGGTGCTGAGTGAGTGGGTGGTGGGTGAGCGATTGAACGGGCGTGCCAGTGGGCGAGTGAGCAGGTGAGTTGGTGAGTTGGTGGGTGAGTGAGTGGGTAAATTGGCCTTTAGCCCCTAGTTCTGGCCTTGTTACCCTGCAGGTTATATTTATTTCCTGGCTTCCCATACATGGTGGCGTATTGATGGCTTTTACGGATGAAACGTGCCACTTTACAAATGTACATCATCATAATTATTATTCTTCATAAACCAAGACTAGTTTAGTTTTAAAACTAAATTAATCCACCTGCCATGAGGCAGACATCAATGTGCGTTTTCATCACCTTATAGGCGGCAGCATCATTAGCAGCATCAGCAGCAGCATCGTCGTCGAGATGGGATCCAGCGAATCACGGCCACCCACGTTGTCAAGTCGCTCAATCGCTCAGCTCAGCTGTATCACTTAAGTAACATAGCATCAGGCGTACTTGTTTAACTTTGTTGTTTAAACGATGAGCAGTCTCGTCGCAAGGCACCCAGCGAACCATAGACCAGAGGGGACGCGGTCCCAACGGAAACTTTATTCGGTCGGATGAGTGAGTGGATTGGTTGGGTGGGTGGGTGTCTCGTCAGGTGAGGAAGTGGACTCGATTTTGTTGATGTGAAGATTTTCGGGGTGGCAGGCGGTGTTATTACAAAACAAAAAAGGGGGAACTGAACTAGATTAAAGAAGCTGCACGTGTATCGGAATGTGTAGAGTGTTGAACTTCTTTGGCACCGTACATAGTCGACCATGCTGATCAGAGTTGCGGGGGGAAAACAAACTAAACAACACCAGGAGTTCTAAAGGAAAAAAGTTTTCCAATCGAGATGATTTAAACGTGCATAGCTCCCAGTGGCTTCCTAATATCGGAAGAGCATTCCAGATGGCCCCAGAAGCGCATCTCAAAGCACCGCGCAATAATGCGGTGGCCACCGTCTTCGTTCGATGGTTAGCCAAAAGCCTCTGCTGTTGCTGCAAGGATAAGCGGAGTTCGCGTGATGGTTGTTTACACTCCTTGATGAGATTGGTCAGGTATTGTGGTCCATCTGTGGCACGCGCTTTGTGTGTAATGAGTGGGTCAGTTTACCATTCCTGTATTTTGCACTCCTATCGTGTTTCTGTATTGTGTTTGGTGTTGTTTTTGTTGTAAGGTTCTGACCCCTTGCCCCTCCTGGACATCTGTCAAAAGGAGCTTTATAGCTCATCGGATTCCTCGCCCTGCAGTATATAACAAATATTCTTATTCTGATCATGCGTTCGTTCAGCAACCTGTAAGCTAGCCAAACGCCGCTGCTGAGAGGATGGACCATACCGAATGCAGCCATCGTGCAAGAATGCAAAAAATGGGTTCGAGATTGAATATCGCTGGAGACAAACGCCTTGAAGTCTCCTGCCATGGGAACGTTTCCGCGCACATTTCCCAAGATCAGTTGACGCGAAGTGTGGTTTCCGTTTAGGGTATTTTTTTTGGTGTGAAATGTGTTTCGAGAAAACTCAAGATGCAAAATATGACACTTCCTCCTTACTCTCCACACAGCCTAATATGACAATTGTCTCCCAGAAAAATATCACACGTGGCCGATTTATAACTGCTGGATGCCACGGTGGATTAGGATATGTTAACTACCTCGGCTGGTATACAGGAGGTTCGAGCCTGGTGCCTGCTGTATTTGGAGTTTGCGTATCTATTTCTCTCCCCGTGGTTGTGTGGATTTTTTTTATCTGGGTCCTCCGATTTTTTCCCTCCACATTTAGCATCAACATCACGCATTTAGAGTATTTGGCTGCGATAAATTTCCACATGATCATACGCCATTTCGTTGAGCTATCATTTGTGGCTAGATCGCTTCTGAAAAAGAGCTGTATCGCTCAGTGGGTCTTACCTAGTAAAATAAAAGGTTATATTTTAACTACCTCGCCTGGTATACAGGAGGTCGTGTGTTTGATGGCTTGCTAAAAGCCGCCACTGCTGCGAGGA